GGCACGCACAAATGCCCCAGCGGGTGCCGTGGCACCCACGGGCACCGTGTTGGGGACCACTGATCTACACAATCTATGTTAGCTGATGATTCCTTGCTCTCAGACTTTTGGAGGAAGGTCAGTCCTCACAGACAGCCCCCCCAACCTGAAATATATACAAGTTGCACCAGTACCCTTGAGACCTAACTGGTCTTGGATAAGGGATTTTGCTCAACCAGCGGAAGTCATATTTGGCCTCCCGCTACTGATCCGTCCCAGCCCTGGACTGGACGCTGTCCTCCCAGCTGGCTTCCCCCACCACTGCCAGCCCTGATGTTTCTCCCCCCACCTTCTCTGCTAAGTCGAACAGCCCAGTTCCCAGGACACTGGGCTCCTGGTCCCATGAATCAGCCCTGCTGCGTCACACTGGGTCATACCAGGCAACCCAGCTGATGTGTGTGGTTCCAGAGCCCCACCAGGCAGTTCAGCTGGGTTGCGCCTGGCAGCCCAACAAAGGGGAGCCCAGCCACCAGCCCTCCAGGACTCTCCACCAGGACCAATCCCTACAACAAACTGCTTTGCCAACACTGTTGTACCCTAATGACACCATCATAGGACCAAACCACATCAGCCATGCCATCAAAGGCTCGTTCACCTGCACATCTACTAATGTGATATACATCATGTGCCAGCAATGCCCCTCTGCCAAGTATATTGACAAACTGGACAATATATGTGCAACAGAATAATTAGACACAAATCAGACATCAAGAATGGTAACATAGGAAAACCAGTGGGAGAACATTTTAACCTCCCTGGACACACAGTTGCAGATTTGAAAGTTGCCACGCTCAAGAAAAAAAAAACTTGCAAAAACAAGCTGCGGCTTGAAACTGCTGAACTGGAATTCATATGCAAATTTGACACCATCAGAATGGGTCTGAATAGGAACTGGGAATGGCTCCCTCATTACCATAAGTAATTTTCTACTTTATGTATTCTTACCACCGTATCCACATCCATCTTGATTGAATTAGATCTGATGTCACACTCCCATCTCTGTACCCCTACTATCTGATTCTTTTTCTTTCACTTCATGCATCTGATGTTGAGTTGCAATTCACGAAAGCTTATTCCATGATACAATTATTAGTCTTTAAGATGCCACTGGACTCCTTGTTGTTTTCACTGAAACAGACTAACACAGCTACCTCTGAAATCTGATTAGCCACTGTGACTCTGCAAGTCTTTTTCACAGTCACTGCTTCCCAGAGATGGGTCACCCTTCCTGTAAGTAGGACTTAGATGCTTAGGTCCTTGATATCCAGCCTAACAGCTATTTGTGTAGAAATACATACATCTGATGAAGTGGGTGTTTGCCCATGAAAGCTTATGCTGCAATAAATCTGTTAGTCTATAAGGTGTCACTGGACTCCACGTTGCTTTTGCAGATTCAGACTAACACGGCTACCCCTCTGATACTGAATAGAAATGGATATTGCTTATCTGCACCCAGCTTTCTAAGCAATCCAGATCGCTCTGTGTCTGTGAACCTCCTTTTACATCATTTCCTCCCTCCTCCCATCTGCAAACTTCATCATTTCCAGGTCATTGATGAATATGTTCAATAGTGTAGGGTCAAGAACCAGTCCCTGCTGGACCCTAACAACAGCACATCCACTCAGAGTTTGCACATTTAAAATTACATTTTAAGATCTATCAGTTAGCCAGGTTATTAATGTGTGATGTTAATTTTGTATTGTTCTAATTTATTCAACAAGAAGTTTTGTGGTGCCAAGTAGAATGCATGAGAGGAATCTATGCGTATTACCTAACCACTACTATCTTTATCAGTTTTGTAATCATCAACAAATTATATTCAATTACTTTGATAAGACCTGTTTTCCATAAACCCACATTGATTGGCATTATATTACCCTGTTTTAAGTTTCTAATTTGCTTGAGATATGTAACAATGTACGCACAGGACTAGTCAATCTGTGCTTTTATTCATGTCCCACTACCATCATCCCCCGGCGGGCGTGAGCATCTGGCCTGCCCTAAATCCTGCTTTTCCGCTGCAGCCGCCTCGTTACTCACTCCGAGCCGACTTCAGGCATAGAGGAGAGGGGGGTCTGGGCCTGCCCTCTCTCACAGACCCCAGCCCAGGGACCTAAGGATGCAGACCCACTGTGGTCCAGTCTGGCTGGCGGGGCTTCCCGCCATAACACGCCAGCCCGTGGGCTGTAAAGAGCCCTGCCCTGGGTTGCTTCCTCTCCCCTTACCTAAGCCTCCTTTTCCTCGGCGTCCTGGCCTCTCGCCGTGCCCCCGCATATGCCTCTCAGGTGGCTGGCTCCCTGCGCCATTTCTCTACCCCTGCAGGAAAGCCGCTGCTCTTTTTAAACTTTGGCGTCGGAGTGTTGCGTCACACCCGGACGCCGTCCCTCTCTCACTCCTCCATCCCCCCTCCTCTCTCTGACTGCCTGGGAGCACGTTGCGCATGCTCCCCCGTGGCACCCCTGTGCCCCATCCCGCGCTAGGAGGCAGGAGGGGTGGGGACATTGAGATCTGCCCCTCATGGGCTGGAGCCCCGCTGCGCCGGTTCCTCCCCTGCTGCGCTGGGCTCCGTACAGCGCTGCCGCCAGTGGCTCCTGGGTGCGGGGCAGCTCTGCCCCGTCACAGGATATATGTTGACAGGCCTAGAATTACCCAGCTTTGATCCAGTCCTCTGGAGCCTGATTGGAAATCAGAATGTATGGACCAGAGAGCTCTGTGGCCAGCTCCTTTAAAACTCTTGGGTACAAGTTAGTAGGGCTTGCTGATTCAAGCATGATCCAATTGAATAGATGCTTTTAACATTTTTCACACTGAGTTACTGTTGGCAGTGGGAAGTATTTTGTGGGGAGGGGAGTAATGTCCTCCAGTCCTCTGGAGCCTGATTGGAAATCAGAATGTATGGACCAGAGAGCTCTGTGGCCAGCTCCTTTAAAACTCTTGGGTACAAGTTAGTAGGGCTTGCTGATTCAAGCATGATCCAATTGAATAGATGCTTTTAACATTTTTCACACTGAGTTACTGTTGGCAGTGGGAAGTATTTTGTGGGGAGGGGAGTAATGTCCCATGGTGCCCTGGGGGAGGCAGGGCAATGGGCTTGGGGGTGATGCCCTGTGGAGCAGGCTGTAGGGTTTTGTGCTAGGGGGAGGGGAGGTAATGTGGCAGAGTGGGGTTGTGCACTGGGGGCAATGTGTATGGAGAAGCAGAGCTGTGTCCTGGGGGTGGGTGCCTTGAAGTAGTTGCAGCCAGAATGCACCCCCAGTGCTTGGGGATGGGGCTATGTGGGGCAGGGGTATACTGGGTATGCTCTGTCTGCAGGGGTCCTCCAGAGAGTGAGGCAGGGGATTTCAGAAGGGGGGAGGGCACTAGAGATGGGGGGCCATGCTTTAGGGGAGCTGGTGGGACTGTGCACTGGGGTCATGCTTTCCCCTAGAGAGCTGGGGTGTGCAATAGGTGGTTAGCTTGGAGGCTGTGTGTGTCAGGGGGAAGCATCACATCCTCCGAGCTGGGGGTTGTGTGTGGGGTGGCATCTGGGGGCTTGTGCACATGGGGGGACACCTGGGATGTGTGCGCATGTGAGCAGGCAGCTGGCTGTGTGTGCATGGGTGGTGCATGGTGGGGATCCCTCCTG